AACTCCTGGCCTCAATTGATCCTCACACCTCAGCCTCCCAAAGCGCTGGGATTACAGATGTGAGCCGCCTCACCCAGTTGAACACCTTAAAGGTTTCCATGCAATGAGGCAACTAGTTGGGTACAGTCAGATATCAGCCTGATACTGCATGTGAGAGTGTTTTTAAGCTGCATTTTAGATATCTGTGCAATTATTTATTCATTACTTGTATGACTTGCCAATTAACACATTGACTGCCATGTGAGTTGTATTTAACACAGACTAATTTTGAGCCCAGGGCCTTGTGAAGCAAAACCCTGCAAGTTCGAGAAAATCTTACTTGTTGATGTTCTTATTGTTACAGTTAATATTGACAATTTAATTCAAAAACGTGGATTGTGTTGTACATAACTCACACACAGAAAATAACAAATTAGAAAGGATTGTTTTGTTTTAATAAAACACCACAGCCCCAGGAAATTTTTTTTTCTAGTGTGGCAGTCAATGTGTTAAATGTAAAATTACCTATTTTTATCAAAATTTCAAATACTATAAGGTTTTCTGCACTGTACAGATACTTACTTCAATATTTATTATGCACTTCACGTGCTCAAGACACACACTAGGCTCATAAGGAGGAGAAAACATAGATACAATGATTGCTTTCAACATACATGGCAGAGTATCATAAATGCCAGTAAAGAGACTTGGCTAAAAGAGGTGTGGGCTAGAACTACAGCTGATGTTATGACTGTGAGAAGAATAATATTCCAGGTGGTCCAGGTATTCCCTCAGCCTAGAATATTATCCTGTTCCTCACCCCATTCTCCTCTCTATGCCCTTCTTTGGCCTGACTTATTCCTATACACTCTTCAAATATCATTTCTAGATGTCACTTCCTTCTGGGAAGCCTTCCCTGACTCCCTCTAGACTGAGTTAGCTGACTCACCTATATACTCCTATATACCCTTAAATAATTCCACTATCACACCACACTTACTACATTGTGTTTTAATTATTTATTTTTCTTTCTTCCCCTGGATTGCAAGGTTCTACGAGGACAGAAATCCTATTTTGGTCTTCACTGTATTGCCAGAACTAGTACATAGCAGACACTCAGTGAATATTTGTTGAATAGACTGAATGAATGAATAGACAGAGGGAAAAGCAAGAATAGGAAATAGTAAGAATAAGGGAGAAAAGGGAAGAAAATATGGGTGGTGTTCAGAGAATGATATGATTGAAGTAGAGCGTATGAGGACTGGAACTAGTGGCAAATCCATTCATTCAACCAACATTTACCAAATGTTTAATATGCTCAGAGGATGCAGCAGTAACAAGGTTAGACACAATCTTGTTCTTACGGTAGTTAGATTATGATCTATGGGAACTAATTCTGGAAATATGGGTTGGTTGGGGTATTGTGGAGAACAAGAGTCCAAACACCAAGCTGAAGAATATAGATCTAATGTAATGAAGAAAGAAGAAACAAAGAAAGCTCTGATATGACCAAATGAACTTTTCGCATAGTATCAAGTAGACTTATTGTAGAGATCACATTTTTAATATGGTAAAAGTTAACTCAGTTAGCTTTATACTGTAGAGAAATGTATAGAGCAGGTCAGAAGTAAGGAGCAAGGCTTGTGAACCAGGTCATAGGACACATCCCAAAGAAAATGTACAGTGGTATGCCTAATCAGGACTAAAATCTAAATGACAATAGAGGCTAGGCTGGGAAGGTAAATGAGTGAGGCAGACTGAATGGGGGCTGTGTGAACTACAGAATTCATGTCCCATCTAAAAGAAGTAGACAAAAAAAATTCACGTAACGTTTACCAAGTGGAATATAAAACCAATGTTGTCATTATCTTCACACTTTCTAAGAGATAGCAGAAATCCATATTTCGATTTCAATCTTCCAATTTTTAATATTGACAATTTTAAAAAACTAAGTCTGTGAGCCAACCAAAACATATCTGTAAGTTGAGACTAGCTAGAAAGTCATCAATTTGCAAGCTCTAATGTAAACCATTTTTACTTTGGCAGAGCGTGATATGACAGTGAAAACAAAAAAGACACGGCAACTTTATGGCAATGTTTTTTCTGGTAGCACTGCTTTTTTTTTTGAGACAGAGTCTCACTCTGTTGCCCAGGCTAGAGTGCAGTGGTATCATCATAGCTCACTGCAATCTCAAACTCCTGGGCTCAAGTGATCCTCCTGCCTCAGCCTCCTGAGTAGCTGGGACTACAGGCACATGCCACCATACCAGGCTAATTTTTTAATTTTTTGTAGAGACAGGGCCTCACTATGTTGTCCAGGCTGGTCTTGAACTTCTGGCCACAAGCCATCCTCCCACCTCAGCCTCCCAAAGTGCTCGGATTATAAGTGTGAGCCACCGCACCCAGCCCAGTAGCACTGATTTAACTTTGCAAAATTCCACTTATAGTTGTAAACAAATGAGAAGAAATGTAAAGAACAAAACAGAGAAATACTGAGACTTCCTTACTTCTGAAAACATTAAAAACTAATACTAATCAACACTTCTTGACTACCTACTCTGTGTACAGTTCAAAGGTCAAAGAAATGATATTAATAAACAATTAAAAAATAGAACTAGTTCAATTTTCACTTTTGGATAGCTATTCTAAAATATCTAAGCTGTCAAAACTACTATGGCCCTACTTTTTAGGCAAACAAAAGTG